AACATACTAATTATTTTGAAAAAATAATGTACCTATTACTTGTTTGTTTTATGAAAAATATAATTTACCTAGTATGAAAAGTGTACATAATTCTCTATTCCAATATACCTACATTATACGACATCCAATATACCTATTATTTGTTTTATTAAAAGTAATTTTTTTAAATGAACCTATTTTCTCTCTTCAAATAACTTACATATACACATTTACAGGTATATTGTAAAATAATTTACATGTGGGTAAATAATGTACCTATATGCTATATAAATTATTGTGTACCTATTTTTAATTATGAAAAATATACGCAATTACAAGTAGTAACTGACTTTGTTTTTTTTTTTTTTTTGGGGTAAATAATAAACCTATATTTTTTATGTATATATTTATATTTTTTTTTTCTTTATATTAATTACAATTATGGCAGTTAATGAAATGCTTGAAATAAATTATAAATAAAATACGAAGTTTAGTGGGAACGATGTAAAACCATAGAAATACTACGACTTCTTATATCCTACTGGTCATTTAAATTTAAAATTGGGGTTTACACATAGATTTATAGAGTGATGGATATATGTCTAGGAAATAGAAAATGTATGAATCTATATTGGACAAGCCCTTATTTTTATCGGGAGTTTTTAAGATATGTCGGTTTGACTCTTTGATATTCTTGTTTGTAATGTAAACTTATCTATTCGGCTTTAAAATTCCAACTCTATCATTTGGTAAAAGAAAATTAGACAATCAAAAGCTTCAAACTTCAGTGAATTAAGAAATTTACTGAAGGTGTGTTTGAAAGAATGAATTCAAATCAGATTTTGTGGATAAGAAACTCATCTATTTGAGAAGTTTTTGTTAGGCAAGTTTGATATTTAACCTCATTATTGAATTATCATTTAAGCAAACTTGGAAGGAAAAAATATAAAAAATAACCACTTAAATTATAATAAAATTATGTGAGGGCATTGCAAGATAATTGTTGCACCTGTGTGGTTGGGCGACAGAGGCAAAGAGGTCTCGCCATTAAAATCATCTGAGGGCCATTGGACCGGAGTGTCGTCGGCTTGGGCGGCAGTCATGCATCTCACTTGGGTCCAAAGTCCAAGCTCGAAATTCGAAAATCTCAAAACGACACTGGGTCGGTTTATTTATGTACGTACGACTTCCAGAGTCTAAGGAAATGGGTCCAAAGTCACATCGGTGCTTCCGGCTCATTTAAAAAAGAAAATTGCAGCAATAAC